TTGTTTGATGTACGCAATGATGTGTACAAGATTAGATATTGCTCATTTTGTTGGTATTGTTAGACATTTTATTTCTAATCCGAGAAGAGAGCAATTGAATGATGTAAAGTGGATTGATTATGAGATATCTTTTCCGCACCTCTAGTCTGAGTTTGTGTTTTGGGACAGGAAAGCCTATTCTTTCTGGTTACACTGACTCAGATATGTTAGTGATGTTGATACTCGTAAGTCTACTTCAGGCTACTTGATTACTTTTGCAAGGGGGAGTTGTATCTTGGCAATTTAGGTTGCAAGAATGTGTTGCTCTATCTACTATAGAAGTTGAGCTTATTGTAGTTGTTGAATCTTGTAAAGAGTTGCTTTGGATGAAGAAATTCTTAGGGGAACTTGGTTGTGCTCAAGAGAGGTATGTGCTTTATTGCGATAGTCAAAGTGCTATCATCTTGGCAAGAATTATACATTTTATGGTCGATCTAAGTACATTGATGTGAGGTATCATTGAATTCGAGATGTGTTGGATTCTAAGTTGCTTGAACTTGAAAAGATCCATACCAATTATAATGGTTTCGGCATGACAAGTAAAGCTTTGTCAAGAGGGAAGTTTGAAGAATGTTGCATGATCACCGGGATGGCGGTCTTCTCTACATAGTCGGGAGGGGGAGAATGTGGGGGTTTGGGTCTTTTTATCTTCCTATGTGGATAAATAAAAGTCCAATTTGAACTAGCCCACTTTTACACATAAGCCCAATATTATGGTGCATATAAGACTTCTTTTAGGTCTTATTTTCAGAAGATTCACAAGGGAGATCAACAGTCATATAGAGAGAAAGTGAGAGAGTGCACATTTTCGCACAAGCTCTAGCAGCCAATTTAAAATGGTGATTTCTGCTTCGTTTGTTGTCCGATTGAGCTGATTTTTGGATAACTTGTTCCTTTCAACTTAAAATTTGATTGGGAACTGAGAGAGGTGGATTTTCAGTTCTGTAGCTCCAGATTTTAGTACGTGAAAAGTAGCTATGTTTGGTGATTTTACTCCATTTATTTCTCTAGCTTTTTTGTGATATCTTGTAGTTGTGTTGCTCATTGTTTGGCACTTTGTTGGTGGCCATTTTGAAAAACACATTTATAACTCTTTTGATTATAGTGAAGATTTGACCTTGTGGTTTTTACTCTTCACCCCGAAGAGGTTTTTCACGTTAATCTTGGTGTCTCGTGTATTGATTTTATTTTGCCTTGCTATATTTCTTTTGGTTGATTTGTTTGCTGCCCCAAACTGAGTTTGCGCTTGATTTTGTTTGTCTTCGAAGGAAAAGTTTAGATTGAGTTTTCTTTGGCTATTTTCCTGTCGTGCACATTTATTTGTGCTTACGTTTCCCAACAGAATCCTGAGGTCGTTTGGTTGGGAACATGTTATCCCAAGATTAATTATCCTGGGATTAGTTATCCTGGAATAAGTTATCCCACCATGTATATGGGATAACTTATCCCATAACTATGATATAAATGGTGGGATAAGTTATCCCAAACATGACAATCAAACAAGAAACCAAAATATTATCCAGGACTATTTTTTTATCCCATGACTATTTGTTTTTATCTCTCACACCAAACAACCCCTTAGAGATGAACTTTGTTATGGCCTTTGCTTTTCGTACCCATTGTAAAAGCAATGTTTATGTAGAGGCTCATGCAACTTTTTGTGGAACCACAAGATCTTCACTTTGAAACTGGATTCTATCCATCACTTAGATGTTCACCAAAGAAAAGGCTAACAACTGTAACTTGAACTTGATTATTGAAGACCTGTTACATTTGAAGAACCAAGTTAATATCAAAAGTATGCATTGTTAATGTAATTCTAATTCGGTGCCAAAAGCACTAGAATAGACAATATTTACTAGTTCATAAGCCTATTATACTTGTATACCATCACGGATAAATATCAGAATAAGTGATATTTACTGGGCCAGGAACACTCTTGGACAAATATGTGCATCTAAAAGATTTTTCATGTTTTCCAATATAATCTGGAAATTAGTTCTATGTATATGATCAATAATTAAATAATCAAATTCAGTAGCTGTATAGTGAAGGGTGTTGGTGTATTGGGTTCGAAAGTGATTTGGGCGTCATGCGGAAGCTTACAATTGCAAATCATATGCCGATAAATTAGATGACAAATAAAACTATACTAAAAGACATGATATTATTATTTGATAGGACCAGTTGGCCTACGTAATTAAAAACTAACTAAAAGAATAAAAGTTATAGATAGAAAAATCTCCTCATAAACAAAACTCGCTAAACGATTACATTGTGGATTCTATTTTGTTTTTTGTTATGAGAATAAGATCTTCAATTTATAGGATTCCAATTTTTCCCTCTAAGGAAAGAATAAACCAAATATGAAAGAAAAATATATTTTTCTTTCATAAAAAATAAAAATATTTATGGTAATATTTTGTCTTTTCTTTTAGGAAAAAATAAACTTCAAATAAGGTAAAATAATGTAGGGATTAGTAATGCAGGGATTAGTAATGCATGGATTAATAATACATGGATTAGTAATGCATCTTAAAATGATTAAAAAGTTGAAGGATTTTTTTTTGTCGTTAAATAGATTAATCACATGGTATTACTAATACCACCAAATGAGAGGTATTAGTAATACATCTTATAATACCATGTAGGGTGTAAAACTAATCCATTAATTAGTTATACATAGGCCCAAATTCTTACCCAACACAGTTCTAAATAGTAACATACATAATACATGGACTATTTCTTCTAATACATCCTACCAAACGGTCTTTTAGTTTCCATTTAAATAATAGTTATAATCAACCTGCTATTGAGGATATGAAAAAAAAAATAACAAAAGAGTTCCAATATTCATTAGTGTGTAAACTGTTACATACTACTACCACTTATAAACATGGATATATCTAGTCTACTAATGCAGGGAAACAGGAAACACTTAGTTTTCATTTAAATAGTAGGTATAACCAACATGTTATTAAGGATATCAAAAGAAAGAAATAATAGAAATAAAGTGTATGTATAAAGATCTTTATTAGTTCGTAAATTGATTGTATAGCACTACTTATAAACATAAAAATAAGGGATATATCTAGTCTACTAATGCAGGTAAAAGAATAGTGACGCCGTTGACGGAGGAAAACCAATGAAGAAGGGGTACATATGGAATCTTAGGTAAATACCCACATCAAAATGTCTGGGAGAAGAAAATTAGGGACTTTTTAAGAATGAGTTTAAAATCAATTGTCGAGGCATCTTTTAAGTTAAAACTCAATAAATAAACAATGTTTGACATAGTGAGTTTATCATTTTACCCCTATTAATTATGAAGTTAATGAATTAAAAACTTAAGAGTTTTGACCGTAAAGTGAAAAAATAGCTCAATTGTGAGCTTTTACAGAGAGCTTCTAGGAGCTTCTAAAATCTTTGTATTGCAGAATGAATTGTGTTAGTTACAGTATTACAAGACATCTATATTTATACACATCAGTGAACTAACTCTAACTAACTCAGTTGGTTATAACTAACTATTACAAAATGACTTTTCTGCCCTTAACGACTTAACTGATTCCTAACTTTCACACTCTTCTTCACTCCCCTTCAAGCTAGGAGGTGAAAAAATGTTTAAGACTCCAAGCTTGGACAAAAGGTGATCATGTTGCGGTCTGGATAGACCTTTAGTTAGGATATCTGCTGGTTGTTCTTTAGTTGAAATGTAGTCTACTTTGATTAGCCCCTTTTGTAGTTTCTCCCGTATGAAGTGACAATCAATTTCAATATGCTTAGTTCTTTCGTGAAATACTGGATTTGCTGCAATCTGAATTGCAGCCTTACTATCACTGAATATTTGAACTGGCAATTGAATCTCAACCCCCACTTCCTTCAGCATTCCAAGCAGCCATACTAACTCTGACACTGTAGTGGCTAGACTTCTGTATTCAGCTTCAGCTGAACTTCTGGACACAGTGGTTTGTTTCTTGGCCTTCCACGACACTAGTGACTTACCAATTTTAACCATATACCCTGTGACAGACTTTCTAGTAATTGCACATGAGGCCCAATCAGCATCACAGTAAGCAGTCACTAAGTCATTAGAGTTACTGGCAAACACTAATCCTTGTCCAGGTTGTCTTTTAAGATATCTTATCACTCTTAAGGCTGCATCTAGATGTGACTTCTTTGGATGTTGTAGAAATTGACTTAGTGTTTGAGTGCTGAAGGTTATATCTGGCCTGGTCATATTCAAATACAACAGTTTGCCAATTAACTTCTGATACATGGTTTGATCTACCAGTGGATCATCTGAGTCTTCTAGCTGTCTGTTTGTCTGCTCATCATACTCCTTGGATGTTAGTTTGACATTGATGTCAATAGGAGTTCCAGCAGGCTTAGCTGCTGTCATGCCCACTTCAGATATAAGTTCAAGAGTGTACTTCCTTTGATGCATTAGTACACCTTCAGAAGACCTTGTAAACTCAATGCCTAGAAAGTATTTTAACTCTCCCAAATCCTTCATTTTAAAAACCTGTTGTATTGACTTCTTGGTTTCTTCTATTAGCTTCAAACTACTCCCAGTTACTAACATATCATCCACATACACAAGTACTATAACGATCCCTGCATCTGACTTATTTATGAACAAGGAGTAATCATGTTGACTCTGCTTGAAATTCAGTTTGATAAGGGCCTCAGTTAACTTGTGATTCCATTGCCTTGGAGCTTGCTTCAGTCCATAGAGAGATTTTATTAGTCTACACACCTTCTCCCCTTGACTGACAAAACCTTGAGGCAGGTGCATGTAAATTTTATCTGTCAGATCACCCTGTAAGAATGCATTAAAGACATCCATTTGGTGAATATGCCACTGTCGAGAAGCAGCTAGAGCAACAATAGATCTCACTGTAACCATCTTGACAACAGGTGAGAATGTCTCTGAGTAATCAATACCTTCCTGCTGACTATTATCCTTTGCAACCAACCTTGCCTTGAACCTGTCTATTCCCCTCTGGACTTATATTTAACCTTGTAAATCCATTTGCAGCCAATAGGCCTTTACCAAGAGGTAGATCAGTAATCTGCCAAGTCTGATTGCTTTCCAAAGCCTGAATTTCAGCCTTCATAGCATCAATCCATCTCTGATCTGTGATAGCCTCGAAATAAGTAGTTAGTTCTCGAATGAAGGAGGTTGCTGCAATATAGCATTGATAGTGGGGAGACAGGTGAGAATAACTCATGTAATCAGACAATGGAAACTTTACACCCTTAGTAGCACTCAATGAGACAAAGTCTTTCAACCATGGTGGAGAATGCTTGACTCTAGTGGATCTTCTTGTCCCTATTAGGACCGCAAACTCCAGATTGTCTGAGCCTAGGACAGCAGTATGCGAATCATCAGGATCAGGCCTTTGGGAAGAGACACCCTCTTCTCCGACAGAAGGAAATAAGTTAGACTCAGTGTGACTTGGCTCACATACATTCACCATATTGTCAGCCTTTTGGAGAACAGGAGGGAAGTGATCTATTTGAACAGATAACTCAGGGTTATTTTGTAAAGAATCTACAAAGATAGGCGGAGGGACTGAGGTGTCCATTTGAGCAAAAGGAAAGATGTCTTCTCGAAAGAGCACATCTCTACTAGTAAAAAAAGAATTACTATGGAAATCCAACAATAAGTACCCCTTTTGTACATCTGAGTATCCCATATGTATTGCTGATCTTGATCGTGGGAGCAACTTGTCATGCTCATTGAGGACTTTTGCAAAACACAAACAGCCTATAGTCCTTAAGTGAGTTAGTACAGGTGGGCTCCCATACAACTTCTCATAAGGTGTCTGAAATTGAAGCACACTACTAGGTAGTCTGTTAATAACATAAGCAGCAGCCAGCACACAGTGTCCCCAATACTTCAAAGGAATTTTTGCCTGAAATCGAAGTGCTCTTGTTACCTCAAGCAAATGTCTATGCTTCATTTCAGCCACACCATTTTGCTGAGGAGTATATGGACAAGATCTTTGATGAATGATCCCCAAATCTTTAAACAGTTGAGCACAGACTGAGTTAACAAACTCAGTGCCATTGTCAGGTCTTAACACCTTCACAGATTTGCCAAATTGAGTTTTCACATATTGCAGAAAAACTTTAAGTGAGACACACACATCAGACTTAAATTGCAATAAGAACAGCCAGGTCATTCTGGAAAAATCATCCACAATAGTCAGAAAATATCTATTTCCATCAACTGTAGGAGTATTGTAAGGACCCCAAAGATCAATGTGTACTAAATCAAAGCAAGCAGTACTTTTGATACAACTAGAAGGAAATACAGATCTTGTTTGTTTAGCATAAGGACATACTAGACACTTAGAGATATTACACAAACTTTGTTTAGTCATAGCAAACATTTTAGAGAGACCTACTGAGGACACATGTCCAAGTCTTTTGTGCCATAACTCCAAAGTGGATTCCTGGAGTGCTGAGTCCAGCTTAGAACCAGCACACAGAGAATCTTTCTTGTAGTTATTTAGTTGGCTCAACAGCACATATAGACCACCATCTTCCTTACCAACCTCCTTCACCCTTCCACTGAAGAGCTCCTGGAATACACAAAAATGAGGGAAAAAAGTGACTGAGCAGCCTAAGTCCTATGTGATTTTGCTGACAGACATGAGATTATACTTGAAGTCAGGGATGTGAAACACATCGGTAAGTATACTTCTATTTGATAAGGCACAAGAACCAATATGAGTTACTTGAGTGACATCACCATTAGGAAGAGATACTGTCCTAGGAACTTCAAGTTTTGACACAGTCTCCTTAGTTAACATATCCAGATTAGACACCATATGATCTGTAGCTCATGTATCAATAATCCAGACTTGACTATTGTCAGATACAAAGAGAACATTACCTGCAGTGTGTGCTACATTACCATCACTGGTAGTACGTTCTGGTTTGTTCTGAAACATTTGAAGGATGTGATCATACTGATCCTTTGTGAATGTGCAACCCTGAAGGAGTTGTTGAACCTCCTTCTCAGCATGGCTTGCAACCGTAGTATAGTGAGGAACTGCAGAAGCACCAGACCCTGTTGCAGACATAACAGATCCTGCATATCTGTTAGTAGACACAGGATCACAAGTGTGTCCCAAATCTGGCATATGAGCATTATTAGTCAAGCCATATGAGAAATTGGCTTGAGCTGGTAAAGATCCTGGATAAGAGTCAGATGTACGAGTTGCAGATGAACCACTTTGAACCTTTCTTTTGGACTTGAAATCAGGAGGATACCCTATCACCTTATAGCAGAATTCCTTGCTGTGTCCTTTGCATTTACAGAATTCACACACAAGAAGGGAGTTCCTTTTGAACCTTTGACTTACGCCTGAGCTATTACCAACCTTAGAATACAAAGACAACGACTCCATACCAACTGCACTCATGCCCATACCACCAGTGCTGGTAACTACAGCTTTTTGACTCTCATCCCCCACTATCATAGCATAGGCCTGATTAATGTTTGGGAGTGGATCCATCAGAAGGATCTGACTCCTAGCCTGATGATATGATTCATTCAATCCCATAAAAAATTGGTATAACTTCTGCCTGTTTAAATGCACTACAAAACCTCTTGATTTGTCACAATTGCAGCAGGGAGGAGGCACTAAGGCCTCAAATTCATCCCACAAAGTTTTCAGTCTAGTGTAGTACACAGACACAGAAGCAGTTCCTTGTTGTAAAGAGGTTATATCTTTATGGAGACTATAGGTTCTAGACCCATCCACTCTGTCAAATCTTTCCTTTAAGTCATTCCAAACATCAAACGCAGTAGTAGCAAAAGCTATTCCACTCAGTAAACTCTTAGACACCGAGTTCATAAGCCAGGATAACACAATTGCATTCACTCTTTCCCAATGTCACCCTAAGTCATCACTGTACACCTCCTTTCTAGAAGTTCCATCAATTAGACCAATTTTGTTCCGCCCTAGCAGAGCTAGCCTGACTGATCTACTCCACAAGGTATAATTCTCAATTCCTAACAACTGAAACGAGATGATACTGATCCCACTCACATCAGTAGGACTAAGAAATAGGGGATGATTATAGTCAATACCTTGTCCTGGAGCTGGATTTCCTGATGTTGCACTTCCATTTGCAGATCCAGACGCAATTTGTCCATTAAGCAGAGTCTGAGGATGCTCAACTGCTGTGTGTTCATTCGTCATGACTGATCTATGAGAGATTGTTGTCGCGGAAGCAATAACACTTCAAACAGAGTAAATTCAAGCTCAAATAACCTTCAACTTGTAATTGTGCTCTGATCTGCAACGTTGAACAAAACGAAAAACAGATGAATCGATGAATCACCTTCTGATTCTTTGATCCTATGTCCAATCGACTTCAACAGTAATCACTGTGAAATCCTGCTCTGATACCATGAACGTAAAGTGAAAAAATAGCTCAATTGTGAGCTTTTACAGAGAGCTTCTAGGAGCTTCTAAAATCTTTGTATTGCAGAATGAATTGTGTTAGTTACAGTATTACAAGACATCTATATTTATACACATCAGTGAACTAACTCTAACTAACTCAGTTGGTTATAACTAAGTATTACAAAATGACTTTTCTGCCCTTAACGACTTAACTGATTCCTAACTTTCACACTCTTCTTCAAGTTTCAAGAAGTTCTATCTTTTTCAAAGTAATTAATTGAGGGTGTAATAGGTAAAAAAAAATTGTTCTTTTTTGATTTGTCAAAATTGACAAGTAATTAGGGACAACTAAAAAAGGAAAAGTTAACAAGTAATTAGGGACAGAAGGAGTAATACTTTAATTAGTAAGAAGACAAGTTTAAGAAGAATATATATATATATATATACATATATATATATATATATATATATATTCGGAAAAGGATATTTTTTACCCAATTTGCAATTATAGGGGGATTTCTGGACCAAAGTATCGACTGCAAGGGCATTTTTGAACCAAAATATTGACGGTAAGGGAATTTTTGAGTCAAACTATAAACGGAGAGCATTTTTGTTCCTTTCACATAGTTTACGGACATTTTTTACCTTTTTCCCTAAATAAAATTATAAAATTTATTTATTTTTATACCATATAATTATGCTATTTCTCAATAATCAGTAACGTTTATTCTGGACCATTACCGACGACAATAGTTTAGCAAATATAATCTTTTTAGAGTCATTCTTTATCCAATTGGGTTTAATATTAATCTTGTTAAACAAAGTTTCTTTACATGAATTCCTACTCTCCATAAAATGGGAATTGAGCTTTTTGTCGTCTTTAATAGTCCAGAAAAAAAAACTATTGATTATGAAACAAACTCAAATTCTCAATACAGATACATAAACATTATATTCATTGATAACCAAATTATACTAACAACACTTGAATTACAAAGAGAAGTATCGAAATAACAAGTAACTAAAGATAGAGATACGAATGGGGATGAGAAGTTAAGACTCTAGAAAAAAGATGAGAGGAAAAGACAGTTTCTTCATAATACGCATATTCTTTCCAACCCGCAGTTGACAACCATATAAACTCTATTCAACCTGGATCCAAAGCAAATCCCGTATTGGCCTGTCTAATTCTTGGGTCTCTTTGTAGTTTAGCCCTAGGCCCAACAGCTTGGCCAACCTTTGGGCCATCGGTGTTCACAACAATACTTCCCACCTCAAAAAGAACCTTGTCCTCAAGGTTCGAGTAAAGCATAAATCGTAGTAGTATCAACTCTGGAGTTGCCTGAAAGGCCAAAACAAACAGTCCCCTTGAGTTCTTCTCCCAATCCTTGTTCCGAGTGTTCATTTCCAAGTGAGTGTAACAGTAACTGAATTGCAAAGAAGAAGCAACTGCCAATGGAAGATTGGAAAGCAAACTGGAAAGATGTATACACCATGGTCGTCCTGGATCCCATACTTGAGTCATATAATTAACATACGTAATGAAACAAAACGTGCCAGTAGATCCCAACAAAAGTAATGATTCTACATTCGGTGTATAACCTATAGAGTCAGGAACTTAGAATTTACTCCTGGATCCATACATAATCATCATGTGCAGTTCCACAAATAGTGACAAAAAAAAAATCACATCATAATTAATTGAACAGTGATAAGACAGACATTGATCATTGGAGGTATTGTCAATAAGACACGTGGATTTCCTAAAGATTTCCTTAAAGTCGTCCACAACTATGGTTGAACGATCCTTGCAAGCACAGTAAAATTTCAGCAAATAAGCAATATATGGTACACTTAACACTATGGCCATACCTACATCACATTCTACACCCCCATTTTATTTTCTATGCTTCACATCAGATATTCTTTCATCCGAATGCAATGGATCATCTAATGGCGCTAGGGTGAATACCTTGGGGCAGTAGTTATTTAACATTTCATCGAACATCTTGTGCGCATCAATTTTGATTGGGTATTCAGATTGCTTGACATAAATCTGAGGCAACGACGAATTGGATATATTGCTTCTATGTGGATGCACTTGTGCAAGACACGGAAAAAGTATATTTTGGTCATTAAAACCTGACAAAATAGCCTCAAAATGACTTGGGTACTCAGTCGGAGAGGTTACCTGCCAGTGATTGGCCAAGCGGCCTTCCGGTGATTTGAGATGCCATTTACGGAAGCGAATCAACACTTTCGCAGCAAAGTGTTTCCACTCTGCCAATTGTTTGTTCTGAAAAAGTCATCGGTGCTATGTTAAAGCCGCTCCGTCTATATAGGGCAAGGCAAGATATAACTTGTGGTTTTCTGCAATTTCATAGAAATTAAAGTAGCGTTCTGCCTGAGAAATCTTTAACTCTGAATTCTCGCCATAAAATCGTTGAAATTTCATCGTTTCAGATTTACTCATAGGAAGGTTTCCAACCAACTCGCGTAACATTGAACGAATTTCAACGAGATCCTTCGGCCAAGTATCCTTCACGGCCTTGATTGAATCTTCTATTGTTCGATATATTTGGTCCTCCATCGAAGACCTCTGGATGAAAGCTCCAATGAAACAAACCCGAATTCTCAATACAGATATATTTATTGATAACCAAATTATACTAAAACACTTGAATCACAAAGAGAAGTACCGAAATAACAAGTAACTAAAGATAAAGATAAGAATGGAAATAAGAAGTTAAGACTTTAGAAAGAAGATGAGAGGAAAAGACAGTTTCTTCATAATACACATATTCTTTCCAAATCGCAGTTGACAACCATATAAACTCTATTCAACCTGGATTCCAAGCAAATCTCGTATTGGGTTGTCTAATTCTTGGGTCTCTTTGTAGTTTAGCCCTAGGCTCAACAGCTTGGCCAGCCTTTGGGCCATTTGTGTTCACAACAGATTATTTTGCAAAAAAGAGAATCATGCCAATTAGAAGGAGAAAAAAAATAACTACATGGCAAAGAACTAAATAGATTTTTTTTTATTTATGGGGTTTATATTTACATGACATTAAATAATTTATTTATGGGGTTCATGATTACATGGCATAACAAAATAATTTAATTTGACATGTCAAATTTATTTTAATATTAAATATAGTTGAATAATTTTTGAAGATAAAATTTTTAGGTTGAGTGATTCTATTGATATAAAATAAAATTTACTGACACTATCAGATAATTTTTTATAATTTAATGATTTTTTAAGATATTAACTCCTACTTATAGAGGGTCATGGTATTGGGTAGTGCTATTGAATATCAAATGTGTCGTCTCGTTGCATTTCGGCACATAGAGTAAGTGTGATTCGTACCATGAAATAAAAACATGAAATTTTAATTTTGTATTTCCAAACCTGTAAAATAATTGATACACAAGTGTTGTGTTTCATTACTATAATTCACCTATTCGAAAAATTTATATATTTTCTAGCTCTCACATTAAAAATATATATATTAGTAACACCAAATTAAAATACAAAACATATGTACATATGAAACTAAATGGAGCCGAATTCCATCAGTAGCATCTAGTGATGATATGGTGAAGTTGTTTGAATTCTATTTTTTCTCTTTTGTAGAAATCTCTGCAAAGATCGCTTTATGAATCGACCAGTTTGTGATTGTAATATTAATGGTGATGAGGACTCAGTCATCTTGTTCGTTTTCTCCTCCATTTCTCTACTTGCAAGATATATTATATCTTTAGCCTGCATTTTAGCAAAATAGGGTTATTAACAAAACAACTCATTTATCATTTATCAATTTTGACAAGGACTTGTACTATGTACACACTCCACACACACATAGACAACTAATACAAACACCAATTTTTTTGTCGGCCTATGGACCATGCGCACAACTGTATAAGTCGGCCTTTTAAATTTATTTGAATATTTTATTTAGATATTCGAACTAAGTCATTATATTCTAATTGAACACCTCATGAACTTCTAACAAAATATTTTAAATACACTTTCAGTTTCAATTTTGAAATATTTTTTGTTTGTATTCTCATTCGTCTAGCTATAAGGTATTTAAATTAAGAACATAAAGTATGTTATCTCTTTTGAATATATGTATTATTCCTTTGTATGTCAAATATTTTAAAGTGCTAGAAAATAAATTACAATCATAAGTAAAATATGAAGGAACATAATTTTTTTGATAAATAATGAGGTTACAATTCTATTTGTTCCATTGATTCTTCTATCTTGGTTATCTCCGTCATTCGAGGAATGAAGTAGCGTGTCTTTCAACTAGGATGATTCGAACCTCCTTGGGATTTATTTGATCTCCAAGAAAGAAGGATTTTGCGGATTTTCTTAAAATATTTAATTGTCAAGAAGAGTTTTAACATATCTTGATCTCTTTATAAATATCCAAAAA